ATGTGGTGCTGGGGGATTGAACCGCAGTCCCTGTGCTTTGCTAAGCTTGTTCTAAGTAGGTGCTTTAGACCACTGAGCCATCTCACCAGCCCAACGGAACCGGTGATTGAACTCAGGTCCTTGCGCTTGCCAGGGAAGCGCTTATTCCACTGAGCCATCTCCCTGGCCCCCCAAGCTGGTCTTGAACTCGTAACGATCCTCCTGCCTCATCTCCTGAGTGCTAGGACTACAGGCATGTACCACCATACCCAGCTAAAGCCTGGTGCTTCTCAACCACTTGTGTGTGAGTGTGTGTATGCTGAGCCACACACCCAGGCCTCAACACACATTGAAGGAGTTGTTTTATATCTGGTGGAGATTTTAAAAAATTTTTTAGTCTTTTATTTATGCTATGCAAGTCAGACTTGTAGTGATCCCCCTGTCTCAGCCTGCCTAGCACTGGGATTATAGGCATGTGCTGCCACACCCGGTCTCTGGCATGGCATGCAGTACCCAGGATCAAACCCATTCCTTGCACTTGCCAGACAGGTGCTTAGACTGCTAAGCTATCTCCCTACTCCCCTAGTTGAGATCTTTCTTTCTTTTAATGTATATTAGTGTAGAATATAGAGGGTCTCACTACACAGATCGGACTCTTTGTAGTGATCCTCTTGTTTTCCGCCTCCCAAGCCTTGGGATTACAGGGACGCACCACCATGCCATCTTGGTCAAAGTCTCAGTGTGCCCCAGGGTGGGGCCAGCACAGCACTCCAGGATTTGAACCCTGGTTATTGCACTTTACCTAAACAGGTGCTTTGGTCCACTGAGCTGTCTGGCCAGCCCTTGGTTGAGATTTTTAAGAACTGCTAATGTATAATAAAAGTTCACAACCTGACTTTAAAACAAAAAAAGTTGCAAACTGCCAGCAGCTATTAAGAATGCTCTTAAATTTAAAAGTTTTTGAAGGATAGGAAGGAAAGAAGAAAGGAAGGAAATAGAAGGGAGGAGGCAGGTAACAGCTCAGATTTCTAATTTGGTCGGGCTTGGACAGCAAGGAGAGCTCTTGGGCCTGACCCTCTGGCTTTGGGGCGGAGCAAGGCTTCTCACCAAGCACTTTCTGTGTGCTTGGTCCTACTGGTGCTTTGGGGCTGTTCTTCAGTACATGTATTAAAATAAGCTGAAGAGGGATTATCTGCCCATCTTAGAGGTGAGGAAACTGAACTCAAAGAAGTTAGCCACTCAGTCACCCCTAAGGGATACACCAGCCTTGAACCCTGGTCTGAGGGACCCATACACTCCGTCGCTGGCCATACAGCAGCTCCAGGCCATAGTCACCTTGCATTTGTCACCTGAGGACGGTGAGCAAAGGAGCAGCTTAGTGTCCCCTGCCTCATTTAGCCCACCACCTAGTCATTAGCTGCCTTACCTTGGTAGGCGTGGGGGACTCAGCAGGGGCGGCGCTCGGTGCGTAGGGCGTGCCGGCTGCTGCGTCTCACACTCTGCTCTTTACGTCCGCATTAGCCTTCACCATCAACAGCATCCACATGGAGAGCCTGCCCCAGTGGAGGGTGCAGAACGGGCAGAGTGTGCACCTGCAGTGCACTGTGGACATCAGCACCACCTCGCTCAAGAGGCCCCAGCACCAGGTGCTGTTCTACAAGGACGACGTGGTCTTGCGCAATGTCTCCTCTGTGAAGAATGCAGAGAGCTTCTTCATCTCGCAAGCCCGGGTGCACGACTCGGGGATGTACAAGTGTACCGTGCTCCTGAACAACAAGAAGAAGACCTCTGAGGAGAGCCGGCTGTTGGTGCAGGGTGAGTGCCTGGGCTCTGGGGTGGGGGCACAGAAGTGTTACATGGGCGCATCATTAGCAGTCATGGGCGCCGCCACCCTGTCTGTCCACGTGTTGTGCTGCTTACCTGCTGCTGGCCCTTTCCTCACCTCATGGTGTAGGCACCAGCCTGTTCCCGGCATACCAGGCTCTTGCTGACTGTTTTGTCCCTGCATGTGCTGTTGTTTCCTCTCCTGGGATTTTTTTTCTCACTATCTAGTTCGGGTTGGCTTTGGACATACAGCGCAGGTTGGCTTCCAGCTTGAAGCAGCCCCCCTGCTTCAGACTCTGGAGCGCTGGGATGACAGATAGCCCCCAACCACACCCAGTTAGCTTCTGTATCTTGTCTCAAGAATGATGCTTTCTAGGGCCAGCTGGATAGCTCAGCGGTGCTGAGACGGCAACTGAGACTGGTCATGGGGGTGCACGCCTGTAATCCCAGCGCTTGGGAGGCTGAAAACAGGAGGGTCACTATGAGTCTGATCTGTGTAGTGAGACCCTGTAGGCCCTGTACTAAATACATAAAAAAAAAAAGAATGACGCTTTCTAGCTGTGTGTGGTATGGTACGTGCCTGTGACCCCAGCACTCAGAGAGGCCGAGGCAGGAAGATTGAGAGTGAGAGCTCCGACTGGGCAGGTTAGTGCTCAGCAAGTCCCTGTCTCAAAGTGAAAAAATAAATTAAACTGCTGGGAGGTAGTTCAGTGTGAAAGCCCTTGGCTCAATCTCTAGTACAACAATGTAGTCACACACACACACAATTCACTGTCTTGTTCAAAGCTTTAACTCAGTGGTTTCTTTTTCTCTCTGACACCTTCCTTTTTTGGTATCAGGGATTGAACTCAGGCCCTTGCGCTTGCTAGGCAAGCGCTTATTCTACTGAGCTCTCTCCCCGGCCCCTCTGACACCTTAAACAAAATTGCTCTCCGTGGGCTGGGGATATAGCTCAGGGGCACAGCACCTGCTTGGCAAGTGCAAGGTCCTGAGTTCGATTCCTGGTACCCAAAAAATAAAAAGAAAAAAAAAATGATCTCCCCTAGGAAGGTCCTTGTAGCTTACATGCTTTCTCTACATTCTGTGGGATTTATTTGTCAAGAGGCCCCAGGGCTGTGGTGTACCCTCAATTCTGTAATCTCTCTGCCTAAGTTTACCTGACCGCTTCCCTTAGCCACTCTATGCCACAAAATGCTGATCAGTCAGATGGGTGCAACACTGATCTCCAGCTCGGGAAATAGGGTGAGAAGGTGCCACACAGATAGAGCGCTCGGTTTCAGGCCTGGCACAGGGTGCACTGCCAGGCCAGCGGTGTGCCCTGTGAGAGTGTCAGTGACGGGCTGCCTGTGTGACGGGGTCCCGGAAGATCTGGCCACCTAGTGATGTCAGAGCCACCTCGGGGGGCAGACGCGCTCCAGTGAGTGGCTCCTGTGTTCCAGTGCAGGAGCCCCGTGACCACACACCCACAGTAAGTCCCCTAGCTGCCCCGATCGGAAGTCACCTCTGTCTTTAAGTCACACAGCCGCGTTGCTCACACATCTAGCTGCCCTTGCAGATGATAAGTCGTAGAGAGACAGTGTTTGGCCTGTTTATACCCTGAGCAAAGAATCTGCCTTGAGGTAAGTGCTCAGTAAGTGTTTAGGGGATAAACTGAGGTCGGCCTTAGCCTATGGTTGTATTCAGTAAATTACAATAATCATTGTACTAATAAATATTGCCTATTTTTTTTCTGTATTTAAACCATGTCAGTTTGGAAATGTTATATCATAGTCCCAAAGGAATTATATAAAACCATTGCAAACACCAACTGTATCTTTTTTTTTTTTTTTTTTTTTAACCAGGGATTGAACTCAGGCCCTTGCACTTGCCAGGGAAGCGCTTAGTCCACTGAGCCATCTCCGCGGCTCCACCAACTGTATCTTGAGCATATTTTATATTTTTCAAAGTTTCTGGGGCCGGGGAGATGGCTCAGCAGAATAAGCGCTTCCCTGGTAAGCACAAGGGCCTGCGTTCAGTCCCCGGTTCCGCCAAACAAAAAAAAAGTTTCTGGCATGGGCGTGTGTGTGGTTTGGGGAGGGGGTGTGGAAGAGGAAAAGGAATCCCCAGGCGGCTTGGCCGCCGTGACAACACAGGGAGGCTGTGCCACCAGATGCAGCTGGGACTAACTGGATTGTCTCTTCCTCCCAAGGGATGCCGAAACCCAAGGTGACGCTGGACAAGAGGGAGGCCATAGAAGGCGGGGTCGTGACTGTCAACTGTTCTGTCCCAGGGGAAAGGGCCCCGATATATTTCAAGGTTGAAAAATTTGAGCGGGATCCAAAAACTATCAAGCTCACAAAAGAAAAGAATTCTTTGGAACAGAATTTTGTGACTGTGGAATTCCCAATTGGAGAGCAGGACTATGTTTTGTACTTCACCTGCCAAGCCAGTATTTCTTTGGGGTTCCAAACCGAGACTTCTGAGACCACCAGGAGTGAAGAGGTCACCGTGACAGGTCAGCGTCCTGCTCTCTCCGTGGCAGTCTGTGTGCTTTCTGGGTGGAGCGAGAACCAGATTCATAGAGGGACTAGATGGCTTCTGAGGGACTTACAGTCTCCGCTTAATCATTTTGGCAGTGTTTTTCAAACTTTTGGGGCTCTGACATTTTATATATATCCTTTGGAACATAGATTCCTTTTTTTTTTTTTTTTTTGGAACCTGGGATTGAACTCAGGCCCTTGCGCTTGCCAGGCAAGCACTTATTTTACTGAGCCATGTCCCCGGCTCCTGACATTTTATATATAATAAAAGTTTTGTCAGATGTGGTGGCACATGCCTATAATTCCAGCACTAAGGAGGCTGAGGCAGGAGGATCGCTGCTAGTTCTAGGCCAGTCTGGGCTACATAGAGAGTTCAAGGCCAGCCTAAACTGCGCAGCAAGAACCTGTCTAAAAAAAACATGAAAACAGATGAACAAACAAAAAATCAATTAGAATAGCCTAGAATCTGCTGTGGGGCAGCGTAGTCCGTGTAGCGGTCACTCCTGAGAGCTGTGGAATGGCCTTGCCACAGCATGCAGGCTCCTGCAGTGGCTTAAGAGTCCCCTGGAAGGGCCGCAGCCCAGGCATGTCTGGGGCTGGGGTTCTTCCCAAGGGCTAGGCATTGGGAAGCTCAAGGAAGTCAGATGTTGCAGCCAGGAGGGCTGAGAGGGAGAAATGAGCTGGAAGGGAAAGAGACTCAGAGCTAGCCAGGGGAGGAACCGAGACAGAAGGTTGAGTTTTAAAAGTTAATCCAGAGACACAAGCTGGAGGCAGGAGGGCGGAGGAGCAGGGCGGCCCAGGTCTGAGCCTGAGTCCAGCTGCCGGTCCTCTTCTCTTGCAGAATCCTTCTCCACTCCCAGGTTCCACGTCTCTCCCCGGGGGGTGATCACAGAAGGAGACCAGCTCGAGATCAAGTGCACCATTCAGGTGACGCCCCTGGCCCACGAGACTCCGGAAATCATCATCCAGAAGGACAAGGCCATTGTGGCCCACAGCAGCCGTGGCAGCGAAGTTGCCTACTCGGCCATGGCCATGGTGGAGCACAACGGCAACTACACGTGCAAAGTAGAGTCCAGTCGTCTGTCCAAGGTCAACAGCATCGTGGTCAACATCACAGGTAGGGCCCCCTGGGAGAACGTTGGCTCTTGGCGGATGCAAGAAGCAGCCTGGTCAGGGAGCGCCGGGCCTTTTCCAGCTCTGCTTGTTCAATGATTGGGCTTCGTCTGGGCTCTGGTGCTTGGGGGGAAGTTGAGGTACAGCCCCGCAGCACTGGACTGCAGTGGCTGAGTGTGTAGCTCTGGGAGCTGGGGTGGCGGTGGCCCTCCTGTCATGGGGCTGGGTGATGGCCAGATGAAGTGCTAACCCAGTGTCTGCCGAATCCACACTCAGAGGTGTTGGCCAGTGTTTCCTCAGTTGGTGCCAAAGGCTAGCTCCCACACACAGGCCCTGGGGCAGGACTGGGAATGAAAAAACATCAGTAAGCAAGAAAATCGGAGCCCAGCTTGCAAATCTTTAGATGCATTTTTATTTCATAATCATAAAACTCTAGGAGGGATGTTTTCATACCCATTGTATGGAGTGAGGCCCTGACCTCAGGATTACAGGGTCACTACAAGGCAGGATGGGGATCCCCTCAGCCTGCTTGCTTTCCACCCCTGTGTTCCTAAAAGTTCCCCCTGACTTCTGCTCCTTCATTTGGCTTTATTTCTTTCTAGATAACTTATTACCTAAAGTAGATACAGGGGCTGGGGAGATGGCTCAATGGAATAAGTGCTTCCCTGGCAAGCGCAAGGGCCTGAGTTCAATCCCCGGTTCCACCAAAAAATAAATAAATAAATGAATAAAGTAGATACACCGTTGTTCGCTCATGCATCTGCCCCTCCGCTCAGGAACCACCCCTGAGTGTCCTGCTCTGGCTGCGCTGTCACTGCCGCAGGCCCCATGCCATCCACAGGCTGCCGGTGGCCTGACGTTAGGTCCTGCAATTCCTAGCGCTCGCTGGCGATTTAGTGAGTTGTTGAGTGGTAACAAATATGTTGATGGCCCATGATATTTGCACTGATAATATTTATATTATCTTATTAGAGAAAAGCATCCATTCAAATTAATGCTTAATTTGAATAATTCAAAGATTCAAATCAACACTTAATATGAATAATTGATTCAAAAGTATTAATTCAGTGTATATTGAATGCTGGGCAAGTTACCAGGAATAGAGCGCTGAGGCCACTCTTTGGCTTCAAGCACTTCCCAGGTGCAGCCAGCCAGCCTGTCGCAGCTTTTTATAGCATGACAGGCTCAGACAGCCTGCCTGGGCCACTGTTCCTGGAGAACGTCCTACAGGAGCCCTTCAGGCCCATTTTGTGGGCCCCACTGTGCCTACCATGTCTGAATCGCTCGCTCACTGGACGTGGGCCCTTGCAGTCAGCAGTGTCTCCCACGTGTGTAGCAAGGTGGCTCTGCAGAAGTTCTCTGCAAATTGTGAAGTAAAAGCAGTGAGTAAACAAATAAATGAGAGCACGGAAGAGTCAGTACTTGCTGCTTCCCAAGTTAGAAAAACTCTCCCTATCCATGACTGGGAAGTAAACCGGGCCCTCAAGCAAGCAGAACCTCTCCCGGGGGGGTCCCAGGTGCACGGCCCCCGCTGTGTAGGTTCCGCTCAGCAGGTATGTGAGGATCAGAGGCAGGTGTTTTGCAGGAAGGTGAGCTGGTTCTGCCCAGAGGAGCCCGCCGTGGGCCTTTCCAGGCAGGTGCTTGACCAAGGCCCAGAGGCAGCTACCCCTTTCCCACTTGGTGTTTTCAGAACTGTTTCCCAAGCCGAAGCTGGAATCTTCCTCCGTCCGTGTGGACCAAGGTGAGAGGCTGGACCTACGGTGCTCCATCCCAGGAGCGCCTCCAGCCAACTTCACCATCGAGAGGGAAGGCACCATCATGTCCCTGGGCCAGAATTTCACCAAAATCACGGATGGATGGGAGAGTGGGACATACACCTGCTCTGCAGGCGTTGGCAAAGTGGTCAAGAAGAGCAATGCCGTCCAGATCAAAGTGTGCGGTGAGCTGTCCACGTGGGCTCCGAGGGGCCCGGGCTCGGGCGGTAGGAGGGGAGCCAGCGCGCAGGCCGTCTCCCGAGTCGGAGGGCAGGTGGGCCTCGGGCTGGCAAGAGCTCGAGAAAGCGCTGTGGGGATTCGAGGGCCTAACAGCAAGCTGTAGTCAGGTTCAGGGACTTGGCCGGGTGCTGTGTGAGAGGAGGCCGAGGCAGGAGGAGCGCAGGCTCCAGCCTCGCCTGTGTAACTTAATAACTTAGTGGGACCCTGAATCAAAATACAAAATTTACAAAAGTATGAGGCAGTAGCTCAGTGAAAATTCCCCGTACTTAAAAAACCAAGCATGGTTTTCTTTGACTGGGCATGGTGGTGCATGCCTGTGATCCCAGCATTCAGAGGCTGAAGCAGAAGGATTCTTGAGTTCAAGACCAGCCTGGGCTACAAAGTAAGCCTAAGACCAGCCTGAAGTGCATAGCGGGACCCTGGGTCAAAAAGACCAAAATAGGGGGCCTGCCCATTAGCATAGTTCTGTAAGTGACTGCTTAAACAGAG